TGATTTTTGTTATTTTATTTTTACCTACGTGACTTTACCGAATAGAACCAAAGAGTATGGTTTTACAACATGTGGTGGTCCATAGTTTGTGTTGCAGCAACTTGCACTTTTGTACCGCACGTAGCCAACTGCGCTTATCGGAGGTGTGGGCAAAGGACAACAAACTAAGCACAAAAATTTCCTCTAAAGAAATGAGTTTACAATTGAGATTTAAAAGTGCAAATATCGGAAGGAGGAGCGTTTCAGACGGCCGCAGAAGCGAATTTGAAAGCGCCGCGCGATGCAGTCACCGTCTTTGTGTCGACGGTCAGCCAAAAGCCGCTGCGCTGCTTGCAAGGATGACGGAGGTTCGCGTGATGATGGTTTATGTTCCTTGACGAGATCAGCGGTTCATTTGTGGCAAGCACTTTACGTGTCGTGATGAGACGCACGGAAACTGACGACCACCGTTGGTGGTGGCGAAACGCGACAAGCCCGGCACAGGGGATGGCCGTATCGCGCGCCGCAAATTTTAGTTTCGTGGAGAAAGAACAACCAATTGACCAATATTTCACCCTCCCTCCCCTCCTTTTCGCACCACCCACCGCTTGCCATCCCGCTCCACGCAATGACTAATTAATGCTGCACGTGTCGAGCTGACAACGTGATTTATTTTCATGAAAATTATCCGCGTGTGGTCGAGAAAATAAAACCAATCTAACAATGTGGAGTAACGTACTGCTGCTGCTGCTGAACACAACTTCGATGAGTTTAATTTACTACCCGGATGAAGCCTCACTGAGTTCCAAGATTATTTTTCAGGAGGTTCCTTGCTTTGGGATTTTCGGCCACTTCCATGCATGGGTTATACATCACGCCGATGAACACGGTACAACCCAGTCATATTGTAAATCCTGGTTGTTAAAATTATATTTTTGGTAGAGAATGGGCATGTTGGGTATGGGTTGGTTGATTGACCATACGTATGTGGAACTCCTTTTGCACCATACGTAGCGAACCTAGCTAACCGGAGGCGCAGGAATCGGAGGTAACAATAAAGATAACGAAGATAGCAATGGTGATGACGACGACCATGGTCATATTGATGACGCTGCTCCAACCCCAAAATCCACCAGCCGAGATGCAAATCCCTATCTGGTGGCAAGACACTAACCCTTGACGTTAAACCCTGCATTTCACGAGGCACCCACTCAAGTAAGCCTGAGTCACCCTCACCGCGCTGGTGAGTGTGGCTTGGTGAATAGACGGCAGCTGGAGAGGGACAACAGGACGGGTTCGGATGTCACTGTCCACGGATGTCGGCCCGAGAGACCTACGCAGCGCAACTACCGCCCACACCTCCGATTAGCACGGTTGGCTGCGCACGGTGGTGAAAGAATTTAAATATACACAGATACAAAACTACGGAATAATGTATATTTATGAGTGTTCTATTCGGGAGTTCCCACAGAACATATAACACTCCGCATTCTATACGGGTGGGTTCCTGCCACGATTGCTATACTGCCATATGCTTGGGCATGTCATCACCCGATAACAATGGAAGTTTCATAAATATTTGTGCTCGACGAACCCTCGCCTCCAAAGTTATGGTTTTAGTGTGTGTCCCGTACAGCACAGGGTGGAGCTGGGAGGTATTGCTTAACACAGTCCACTGTGAACGTGGCAACCGGAGTTTGATTCCTGGCCACAGGTAACATCAGTGGCGACTGATATCGGGACCAGTCCTGCCTTCATCCTCCTCTCCCCTGCCCCCTTAATCAACACACGCTGACCAGAAAGCTGAGGTATAATAAACAAAACAAACCCAATGACCACAACGAAATGGGGACGAGGCCTTCATCCGACAGTGGACTTACAAAGGCCCGTGACCCAACCTTTACTGCACCTATGCGCATTCTAAACAACATGTCATTATAACTGCCCGAATTTAGAATGTTACCATCTTTGACTGCCCCCCACATTTTTTAAAGCAGCACAATCACGTGAAGCCGCACCCGGGTCACAAATCGTATCGGTGACCCTACCCCCCACACCCACCCCGCAGTGCACGTGCGTCGCCGAGGCTCCCGCTGGCATTCGCAATGCGACCAACGGCAACCCGAAAGTGCCCTCTCAATTATTGTGTCAGGACCGATGGGGGCTGGGGCCTCGTATCTGCGGATGAGCTGGAGGGCACGTGAATAATGCATGCGGCTATATCTATGGGCATTCCTCCTGCGACCCCCACCATCGCTCCCCCCACCCCCCCCCGAGGGCAGGCTTGCCCTGGGGGGGTGGGGTCCGGAGCAGAAATTGGAACGGTTGTTTATTGTCCCATTCTGAAACGACGTCCCCTCTCCGTGGCCAACCTCGCCTTCGATGGAGCATGTTGTGGGGTTGAGGGTGCAGGGTTTGCGCTCCCCAAGGAGGCCGCTGCTCTCTCGTCTAACACTGGTGAGCCAAGGCCATAAAGAGGGCTGCTGTCTCTGGTCTAGACCAATCAGTTTAAAAGACAATGCGTATATTATCAGAGCGTGTTTGCTTGCATTTTTTGCCGCAAGTCCGTGTGTGGTTAATGCAGACTTGATGCCTTGCAAAATGTTTCTATTTGGTCTTTGAACATCTCAACACACGTTCTATTGCCAGAAAGGGTAAAACCTCGTCTTATGTTTTTGTAGAGACGTAAATAGTGTTCTCTATGGCGTATAAGCCGACTACAACCACAGCTGGTAAATGAGTGCGCACCGTACCTCTCGATGGGGCCGATGGAGACGTGCTTGTAACCTTGGGTCATAGGTCATAGAGCCTCCACAGCCCCTCCCCGTAACTCGTTTGCTTTTGAGACACAGACGCGTTTGATAATGCCAGGCGCGTTGCCCATTGAATGCAGGAGCCGTAAACGAAGATGGTCCGCGCATCTTGTGGCGGGATGTTAACTACCTCGCCTGGTGTGCGGGAGGTCGTGGGCTAGATCCCGAACCTGACGCCCGTATGTTTGGAGTTTGCGTGTCTCTTTCCCCGTGGTCGCGTGGATTTTTCTCCGGGTCCTCCGGTTTGTTCCCTCCACATTTAGAATAAACATGCGTTTATAGTATTTGGCTGCTATACATTTCCACGTGATAAGCCACTTCGTTGAGCTATAATTTGTGGCTAGGTTGTTTCTGAAAGAGAGCTATGAAGCTCAGTGGGCCTTACCTGGTAATATTAAATAAAAAAAATAGTTTAGTGTGGCGGACGGGACAAATGTACTTGTTCGAGTTTCATTTTGCCGATGTTACCACCTTTTTGCAAACGCCAGTTTAACTCTGGAGTCCCCCCCCCGAAAAAAGGAATGAATGAACCGTTTGAAAGACATGTTAATGAACGCATTAAATACCTCACGAGCCTGCTGCCTGCGCATTTTTTCCCCCTGCCAACAAAAGTAGCAAAGCGACCGGATGGCTTTTGATTGCGTTTAGTCACGAGCGGTGCCTCCTGGGCTGCAGCGGGGGTCGTAGGTCACGCACGGCAAGGAGGAGAGGTTGAGGTGCTAAGAGGACGTGGGCAGGGAGTGTCCATCACGCAGAGAGGGCCCCGTGATAAAGGAGGTCATGTGCTGTAGCAGTTGGCATGTACCAAGTGGACTGCGACCCTCCAAATCAGTGGTTCTTCTTAACCCGGAGTGCAGGTACCCCCCTGGCGCGTGCGAGATGCTATTTCTGGGGGTAAATCATCGATACACAAATTGAGCACGGGCACATAAGTACAATTACCTTTTGATTTAAAGCTTTCGTGACTGCAGTAATTCATATTCTTAGTTTTTTCGGTAAAGTCACGTTGACTTTACCGAAAAAACTAAGAATACAATTACCTTGTTTCATCAAACCTACGCATTTATTAACACTATATATATATGTTTTTACTATTGAGACGCAACGGGGTGCATGGCTGCGGTAAAAGTAAAGAACCACTATTCCAAAGGAATAGTGCCTTCCTCGTGGTCGTCGTCCCACCCCCCCCACCGTGACCCGTGGCGATCAAACAAATCAATCGAGACGCGCCGGTGTATGGCAGACAAGAGTTTTTTTTTCCACGTGACCGCTGTGGCAAGATTGTCACACGACTGGCGCGACGGTCCTTGGCTGGCTCTGCGTGATGAATGAATGTTTGTGATGGGCTATGGAGAGGTGTCGGCAACCTGCGGCACTGTTCAGGACTGATGCTTGGTGACGTTGTTTAATCAGGGCCACCACCGTCTCGTATTCACCACGTGCATTGCGGCTCTTGAAATGTTGAGGTTTTTTGTTGTTGTTGCGAATTTGAAAATAATGGCTCTTCTTGTTATTTTGGTGGCCCACCCCTGGGCTATGGAAACCACTTTGGAGGAGAAGGAGCAATCCGTCTGAGCAGGGTATTTGTGACGGGGGAGTGCTGCAGTCTGGACTGCGGTATGGATGGGAAAGCTGGACGCTACATTAGTAAGTAAGCAGCTCCGAAATTAGTTGATGGCATTGAGCACAGGTGTCTGAGACGGATGGCCGGGAATTTCGTTGCCAGACATAATGAGAAATGTAGTCATCCTGGAAGAGAAAACGGCAGGTGATTGTTTTAGATACGAATGGACCAAAAATGGATGCGCTGGATGAGACGTGTGTGTAGGACAGGGAGGGACTGGTTAACTAAACCAATTGTTTTTTTTAACCAGGTGAGGCCCACTGAACTATACAGCTCTTTTTCAGAAGCGACCTGGCCACAAGTGATAGCTTAACGAAGTGGCTTGTCATGTCGAAATCTATAGCAGCAGCCAAATACTCGAAAGGCATTTGTTTTAAATATGGAGGGAAAAACTGTAGGACCCTGATCATCACTGATCATGCTGATATTTCACAAAAAACTGCAGGTTTGCAAAAGGTACAAATGATTGTAATATAAGGTGCTTTATAAATGTAAATACACACGAAGTAGGAGGACCCAGAGAAAAATCCACGCGCCTGCTGGGAGAGATACACGCAAACTCAAAATATATAACAGACGTCAGGGTCGGGATCGATCCCACGGACTCCTTGTATACCAAGTGAGCTAGTTAACATCTCGCCACCGTGGCGCCCGATACAGGCATCAGAGTGGTCCGCACGAGTCCTGCGATTCAAGGCGGAAGACGCAAGGCCAGGTGGTGGGCGGCTGTTAGGGCTGTTCTTGGGAGGTCGCGCGTCTACTGTGCCGCAGGTGTGGGATCTGCCAAAGGGTAGGAAAGCGTTCACCGACGTGCGGTGGTAGCAACGGTGGCCGTGAAGACATATCTATCCCGAATGCAATGCAATAGGAATGCACAACGCGTCTGAATGTGGCTGCATTTGAAGTCGCTGTATACAAACCGTGGACATGTTTTTTTTACTTTAATGGAGAGTGGCAGTCACAGGCAAAGTGTAAAATAGGAGGGGCCTTGAGACTGGACTTGAACAGGGCCATGGAGTCGACAGCACGGATGGCTGGGGGGAAGGGAGTTCCAGACAATTGGAGCAGCAGAGGAGAATCAGCGACCTCCCACTGAGCGACGGTTGCTTAAGGGCTTCTACAAAAACCTTGGTTAGATGAGTAGCGTGAGATAAGAGCGGAGAGGTAGGAGAGCGCATAGGAGTAAAGCGAGCTAGAGTGAAACAGGAGGCGAGAGCTGGGAAAAGGCAGTTAATTATTCACAGCTATTGCGGCGACATTCTGTTTATGCAGGGAATTGGTATTAATATCCACATTACGTAAAAGCTAATAGGCTAATTGGGTGCGTGTGTTCGCGTGCGCGTGTGTGTGCGCGTGTGTGTGCGTGTGGCCAACGTGGGCAAGAGAGAATTAGCAATGAGAAGCGAACCCTGATGGAAATATTCACGCTCAACGGGCCTCTCTAGCAGCGGCCAAGTTTGAAAGCGGTTTGCCGGCACCACCTGCGTCGTGCTGCCCACACCATCTGCTCAGCTACTGGAAGAGAAGGTCAGTCAGGCCTCTTAGCACCATCCCAGCGGACTCGGCAGCAGGCAATAGTTACCGTCGAGTGTGAAATGTTGTGTTTTATGTTTTACCGCGTTGGTTTTAGCGGCTGTGCTGCTGCATGGCTCTGAGGTGTGTGTGTGTGTGTGTTTAGATCGTATCCGCGAAACATCTCAAATCGTGCCGAACCAACACGGGCCTGCGACCCGACAACCCAACGGAGAGAGAGAAATGCGAAACGTGAGTTGAACTTCGTTCGCACCGTTACGTAGCCAACCGCGCCAATCGGAGGTGAAATGTCTTTCGAGCGTGGTACAGAGAAGCGGAGAAGCGCGTTGTGGTGCTGTCCCTCGATGGTTCCACGTCAACACTCGCCGCCTTCACCAACCCGCGCTAAACCACTGCTCTATGAACCCGGCAAAAACCTGAGTTCAGTCCCCGGCCACGGCTAACATCAGCGTACGAGCGATATCTGCACCGGTCGTGCCGCCCCCCGCCTCCACCCCCTTTCTCTGTCCCATTCACTGACCAGCATGGTGAAGTATGGTCAAACAACCCCCACGGCCGACAGGGCATGAGGGGGTGGGGGGGGGTGGCTCATTCAGCCTGCGCCCATTTGGTTCTCACAAAGGGCATCTCGCACCCCCAGGTTAAGAACCACTGCATTCATGGATTGGTTAAAGGGCTGTAAAGTAAAACGGCAGTGAATATATAAACCGAACGGCCGAAATAACATTGACTGTGGACTACAACAACAGACACCGAAAACAACAACAACAACACGTGGTGTGAGGCGGGAAACTTTCGTAGATTTGCCAGTGGAGGAACAAATATGCATTCGTCATCAAGCCTCTTCTCGTCACGCGACTCGTGAGATAAGTTTCGCGGACGCGGATGAATTGGAGCGAGGCCGATCCGACGAATCTCCGTGCGAGGGTCCCTCGTGCAAGCTGAGTGGGCTTCAATTCGCGAGCTCCAATTGGTGGGAAGCAACTTGTGAAAGCGATATGAATTACGACCGTAGATTAGAACAGTATCCGAAAGAGAAGTAAATGCATTTCTTACAACAACAGAAACTACTCGCCAATGTGTTAATGATAGCATACTGCATGCACGGAATTTATTTTGAAGCTTTGAGCATTATGAATGCATTTCTTGTACGGCACGCCTCATTAAAGTTACAACGTCTAATTAGGGGCAATATGGGATTCGTGTTGTTTATCGTTGCAGGACCCTCATTTTTTAAAAGTTAAACCACAACACGTTTCCGTCGGAGTGAAATGCATGCTGGTAAATAATTGCCCTGGAGCCCGCAGGCGCTCCCTTTTCTCAGAGGCGAGTGGCTGGAAATCAATGGCTTTTTACGACGATGGCTGCTGGGATTGCATGCAACACCGTCCTCCAATGGGCGAGCGCCGTTGTGGGTAAAACAGCGCCCGACACGGACAGGGCAGTGTGCCGAGGGGTTACGTGCCAAGTCTCTATAAAACAATGTCTTTAACTTATTTCACCAGGTAAGGCTCACTAAGCTACGTAGCTCTTTTTTTTTTCAGAAGCCACCTGGCCACAAATGAAAGCGCAACGAAGTGGCTTGCCACGTGGGAACGGAGGACCCGGAGGAAAAATCGACGCGACCACGGGGAGAGAGAACACGCAAAACTCCAAATAAAACCACGACCTCCTGCATACCTGGCAAGGTGGTTAACATCTCCTAGCCACCGCGGCGCCACATGCGACTTGTGGAGGGCTACGAGGTAAGACGGTAAATGCCACCCACCACGCATCACCCACCACCCTCTCCGCTGTTGTGCCCACACCGCGCATCGCGGGCGAGTTCGTTAACATTTCGCGCACTGGTATTGAGTTATTATTCTATACTGCCCCATGACATTTCCCGTGTGTGTGTGTGTGTTTTTTTTAATTGTATGTCAGAGCTGGCAACCCTAGGAAGCGACTCTCACGCCTGCCATGGGTACCGAGGCGCTCCCGCTGTGCACCGGGCGGCGCTCTGAGCAGGGCTCGGTGCGAGCGATCGCCCCCCCCGAGCGATGCGGTGATGCGCGGCGATGTGAGCCCAAGATGTGGGGAGGGGCCCGCAGGGGGCACGGTGGGGGGGGGGCGACCCTGTTCATCTTGCAGTCGTGCCCGTTATTTATTTATTTCACCGCGTTTCGCCCGCAGACTTGTCCCGCTGTTACAATTTTTTGTTAATGCTTTTTTTTTTCGTTCGTTCTTTCCCTCTCTTCACTGCTCACAGTCACTGCTCGGTTAGTCTCGGTGGCGTGTCTAGTTAAAGGGAGAGCTCAACAAAAAGAGCAAAATGACAAAGCCAATATTGCCAAGCAGGGTCTGATTTTTGTAGTCTATAATGCCCACTGCGTACGGGTTTTCGCGGTTGTGCTCTACGGCTCGCCGATGTGTTGTTACTGCCCGATGCCTGACCTTTCGCACCACGTGCTGGGAGCTTCTTCAGGAACTGGACAGAACCGCACCCACAGTAGCATTTCCTCTAAAGACACACGTAGAGCGAAACGTCGGACATCGTGCCGAACACCAACAACATGTTCAACCGGAATCATGTTCTCTGTAGAATATTGACTAATTCTACTGAACACCAAGAATGCTCCGTGTGCCTGCGTTTCGCTCTCAGGCTCGCGATTGCGATTCTGCCACACGCAGCAGTGTTGGCACACCGCGGGGGTATGGTGAATGCATTTATCATCTTCCCTCGTAGCCGCGACATGTCACGCGTGGTGCCGCGGTGGCGAGGCGTTAACTACCTCGCCTGCTATACAGGAGGCCGTGGGCTACGATCCCGGCCCTGACGCCTGTTTTATATTTGGAGTCTGCATGTCTCTTTCCCCGTGGTCGTGTGGATTTTTCTGCGGCCCTCCGGTGTTTTTTTTCCGTGCACATTTAGGAAACACGCGTTTGGAGCAACTGGCTGCGATACATTTCCACGTGATAAGCCACTTCGTTGAGTTATCGTTTGCGGCCAGGTCTCTTCTGAAAAAGAGCTGTGTAGCTCAGTGAGCGTTACCTGGTAAAATTAAAAAATATAGTTTAGAGTTGATATAGTTTATAGTTGATTTGAAGCTTTCGTGACTGCAGGAATTACTCTTTGGTTTTTTCGGTAAAGTCACGTATAAATAAGAAATAATAAAATAACATAATAGCGTACGACGTTTCGGCTGCAACACAAGCAGCCATCATCAGGTACAGAAGAGCTAAATTTATGAGAGAGGGGAAACACATAACCTCAGATGTATACACAGACACCCAAGCAGGGGGAACCGACACAGATTCAACAGGGGACACAGAGAGAGAAGCACACCAGACAAACAGGGCCCAAGGTTTTGCTGGGTTTTGCTGGGCCCTGTTTGTCTGGTGTGCTTCTCTGTCTGTGTCCCCTGTTGTATCTGTGTCGGTTCCCCCTGCTTGGGTGTCTGTGTATACATCTGAGGTTATATGTTTCCCCTCTCTCATAAATTTAGCTCTTCTGTACCTGATGATGGCTGATTGTGTTGCAGCCGAAACGTCATACGCTATTATGTTATTTTATTATTTCTTATTTATACGTGACTTTACCGCAAAAAAAAACAAAGAATAGTTTATAGTGTGCTTCGTTACCTTGCGGATTTCTCCCAGGGAAATCGTTGACGCGTGTTTATTTTGGAGTTGTAGATTGACGATGAGGATGCGGGTGCCACGGTTGGCAGCCATTTGAATTGAAGTCCTAATCTTGGTAATTTCTGTTGACACGTAAGCGTCAATTGCTTAGCGCGTCACGTCGGACGTGTTTAACAATCATCGGGCGCGTGCAGCGTGGAGCGAGTTTATTTGAATGGGGAGTGAATTGATGCACGCGAAAGGCCGTAGCTTGGTGGATCGCGATGAATGGAGTTTTGGAGACCCTGCCTTAGACACTAAGGCACCTGCTTTAGGCCGTTTACGACTATACATATGACTTTATAAATATCGATATGTGTCCGTGCACCGCGTGTCCGTGCACCGTGTCTCTGTGCGCTGTCGCTTTAAACGCGGAATTTCAAACTAGAACTATTGAGCGTTCAGAGCCAGTTATTTTTCTTTATTTTTTCCTCCTCGAGGCACAACGTCTCGTTATTAGCTGCTGTGTCGACGAGGATTTATAGCGAGATGACTTGTAGTTAACGGAGCAATAACGCCACCTTAGGAGCGTTGCCTTTGCTCTGCTGAAAGTCTGAGGCCCCGTGGCTTCGCCGTCGTAACCTCATCTATAAGTCTGAGTCTCCCTCCTTCCCCCCCTTAACACTTTCTCCAACTGGTCGCGCATTGCTGATGAGTCCTAATGAGGACGCACACAACGGACATGGCTCCGGTTCGAATTGAGACAGCTGCCTTGCTATTAAAGCAGGTTCTCAAGTGTGGTAAGTTGATGGTCTCTGCCAGGTCCCTACATGCCCTCAAATGGGCTCAAGCACAGCTGTGGAACGTGCAACAAACATTATTCCGCAGCGGAGTGGGGGGGGGGTGGTGAAGGTGCTTTTGAAGGGATCTCAGAAGCAGTTCTCTATCGTCTGCTTCTGTGGGCCGTTGTCTAACGTGAATGGTCGCACTGCTCTGTAAAAAAAAAAACGAATCGATTCTCCATTTAATGACCACGATGCCGAGGGTACAATTAGGATTCGATTGGATAATAAAATATTAATATATACTGTATAGTGCTTCGGAGATCCACCAAAAAAATACGTACAATCCGTTCGAATTAATCACGGGTTGTGACCCCCCCCCCCCCCCTTCCCCAAACAGAATAACAAAAGCAACGCTTGAGATGAATGCGACACTGCAGAGAAAAGGATGAGCGGAGGTTTGCGACTTCGAGTCACCGGCAATTCCGTGAGCTCTGCTTAGCCTGGTGACATTGAGCTCGCGGCGCGATTTCAGATTTGAGTCGGAGCGCGGCGTTCGTCCGGTGCAACCTAACACGTGTTGTGCACGCACCCCCTTTGTCTCCATGCCGCGCCTCGCGTTCTCGTATTTTACATGAGCACATGTCCTCCCCTCCCGCCCCCAGACCCTTAGCGCTGAGAAGATCGTGCAGGTTTTGTGGTAAACTGCGGCGCACGAACAGAAATGGACTGAGATGACGAACACGGGGAAGGACTTTGTCGGCTTAAACAGTTTAGTTGGGGGGTGTTTGTGGGAAATCGAGAAAATCAGTGGTGGTGCGGTGCTGACCACCTAAGTTTGATTCACGGCAACGGCTATCATCGGCGGTGAGAGATATCTGAACCTGCCCCGGCTGTCCGTTCTTCACTAACCTGTAACAGGATGTCAGGAAGCAGGCCATAAAGAATTTGGTAAATGAGGATTTTTTTTTGTTTCACTTGAAAGTGTACAGGCAGCACACTGCTAATGATTTGGTTGTCCGGCATTGTTTTTATTGACGTGAGCTACTGGTTTCCGTGCATTTAAAGCGTTACCTCCCATTTGAACTAATTGTGAAGTGTAACAACGATGGCTGCTGACAGGCCCAGTGGTACTGGCAGCAGGGGGCAGTACACGTGTCAGCAGAGGGAGTAGTATATACAGGGGTCAGGAGATCTCAGGAGAAGCTCAGGAAGGGGGAGGGGGGGTCCATCTGGAAGCCCGGGAATCTGCTTTAGTAGGTTCCAGAAAGAGGGCGTGGCAAGGGCGGAGCGAGGCCACACGGGCAGGATAAAAGGGGGCCCGGGACGAGAGCTCAGCGCTGTTGCTTGAAGCCGATCCCTTCGCTGTGTCGCCGTTCGCCGCCGCTGCCGCCGCCGTCTCGACCACCCTTAGACGCTGCTACCTAGACAGCCTGTCAACTGTACTAGCTAGTGCTGTCAAAATAAATGGATGTGTGACTAGCGTGTAAGCACGTAGGGCGTCTGTAGTTCCCTGATGTGTAGAATAAAAGAAGTCACTACAAATGTATCTAGAGGTTGATCAGTATAGCACGACGATTCCATTTCCCGCACCTCACATTAGCACGGTTGGTTGCGCACGGTGCGAAATAAGTAGTTAAACATTTACATTATGAGACCTCCTTTGCCAGAAACAAGATATAGGAATAGGTTTTACCCTTTTAACTGGCACAAAAACTGACACCTTTATTCAAGGCATCATGTTTGCATTTTGACTGCTTGTGTTGTGGTTATTGCAAACATGATGCCTTGAATAAAGGTGTCAGTTTTTGTGCCAGTTAAAAGGGTAAAACCTATTCCTATAGTTAAACATTCATACATACAGTGTTTTATCAAGGAAAGGCTCACACAGTGCCAATACTCCGAAAGGTTCGGCTTCAAGGGGCGACGCTTTGCGGCGCGTGTTACCCCAAGTGCGGGAATTTGCGAGGGCTGTAAATCTTTACAAATTGGTCAATTTGTACCTTCACGTCGCCACACGTGGTCTACTCCTTTTCAAATCACGTCACGGTATCTCTGACGTTCTCTGCGACGCAGAGAGCTCGAATCGCGATGCTTAGCAACTTGATACACTCCTCACGGTACCCTTTCACACATATGTCTGTATGATTGTATGTTGAACTTTCTTTCGCACCGTACGTAGCCACACGTAGCTTCTTTCCATCCCT